CCCCACCTAACTCCCCTCACACACTAACAAAAACCTGGCCAAGAAAGAGGCCTTTGTCCTAGGACATCTGAGGCTGAGGGGGAGGGGAGAAGGCTACAGGTGAAAGGACACATCAAAGCAGCCAGCGGGCCCCTCCTCCTCCAAATAGTTCCCCTGCCCTTGTTCCCGGTGCCCAGGTTTTCCTTAAATGAAGGCTATGCCCTAAATGCTCACCTGCTTATACAGCTGGGAAGCTAGACACCTGGTCCTTACCTTCAGCTGCCTTCCACCTTGATATGACTCAGTTTCCCCATCCCTAAGACAGCCATGGGGACAGCAGACGACAACAACCTGTATAAAATTTAAAGGTCATGTTCAAGTGGACCATCAGGTTAGAATTCATCATATGCATGGGAGAAACGCCGACCTGGCGGGACTCCTGGGAGAGGCCTGGAGCCATGTGTGCCCCCACTGGCCAGGAGCAAGATGGGGGCGGGGTGTGGGCAGAAACCACATCAGGCTCAAGTTTCCTCTCTTGGCCGAAAGGGGCAGGAGGAGAGGAGAGCCACGGGGAAAGGGGAGGGTTGGAGGCAGGACTGAGAACTCAGGCCGAGGGCTTCGGAGAGAAGGCTGGTGCCCCTGCTTGGGGCTCCCTGCGTTCAACCTAAGCCTGAGCCTCCACACTCAGCGCTCAGCAATGGCCCGGGGGCGGGGCGCGGCTCTTGCAGATTCTCAAAGGTAGCCGGGATCCTCGTCCAGCAGTGTCAGCTCAGGCTCAGCCTCCCCAGAGACAACACCAGGCGCCTCATCTCTCTCCTCACACTGCTGGGACTCCGCCACAGGTGCCTAAAAGGTGGGTGGGGGGATTCTAGGGGCAGGCTGGAGGGTGAAGGAGGTGAGGAAGGAAAATAACCAACTTTTGGTATGTTCCCAGGAGACCTTGGTCAGACCTTTCTAGATTGCCCCTGGTTTAGGAATTTGACATCTTTGGGAACTCCTGTAGGAGAAGACCTAAATGGTTTCCTGGGTGCTCCGGGATCCTTGGGGTGGAAGGCTGTGAATGCCGACCAGAGAGTGGTCTCCTGAGGCAAGGCAGCACTGAGGAGGTGAGGAATAGCCAGGAGGAATCCTTCAACTGGTGGGCTGCCCTGGGGGAACCAACAGATTTCCAGGTATATGATGTCATCCTTTCCCTGACCCCATTCCATTCCTCTGCCCTGTCTAGCCAATTGAGAAGGTTTGGGGAAAGCTGAGGAGTTGGAAACACTGGATATCTGGACCTCTGAGAAGCGTTGCAAGGTTCAGGTGGTTGGATGGGTCGCCCCTGGGTTCTTGCCTCTCGTTGCTGTTACTCTTCTCTGTGCCCAGGAGCAGTAGAGGTCAGCTGGACCTGGAGGGGGATGGAAGGCATCCCAATCCCAGCATAGTTGCCTCTAAAGGGAACTCTTGGCTGCTTGGGAAATAGGGGTTGGGAAGCAGTGGAAGAGACAGAGGAGATATCAGAGCTGCTGGAGTTGGGATTCTCTAGACATTGGTACCAAAAGACTGGAGTCTGGAGTCCAGGGATAGAGTGACAGGATAGCAGAAACTTGTCCCCGTCTCCCTTGTTCTCACATATTTCTTTGAGTCATGCATGTTCCCAGAGCACTAAGCTCACGATGCTCAAATTGTGAGCTCTCCCTCCTTTTTTTCCCCATCATTCTCTATCTCATCTCTGTGTGTCGCTCTCTCTTTGGGAGTTCTCCCTAATCTTTCTAAACAGCTTGCTCACCTGCCAACCCAGACTCTAAGTTTTAATAATCTCTCCCTATCCTTTCAGTGCACCTGTTGACACCTGGAGAGGTGAGGTAGTCACATAAGCCTTAGAAAAGGGATCCTGAGGCAAGCCTCCTCTCATCGTTCCCCCTTGTCAAGGAAGTTAAGAGCTCTGGGGCAGCAGCCAAGGCCAAATGCCCTCCTTTCTCCATCATCCTCTCCAAATGGTCCCCACACTGTATTCCTTTTTTTTTTTTTTTTTTTTTTGAGATGGAGTTTTGCTCTTGTTGCCCAGGCTGGAGTGCAATGGCACGATCTCAGCTCACCGCAACCTCCGCCTCCCAGGTTCAAGCTATTTTTCTGCCTCAGCCTCCCGAGTAGCTGGGATTACAGGCATTCACCACCACACCCGGCTAATTTTTGTATTTTTAGTAGAGACTGCGTTTCACCATGTTGGTCAGGCCAGTCTCGAACTTCTGACCTCATGATCCACCCGCCTCGGCCTCCCAAAAGTGCTTGGATTACAGGCTTGAGCCACCGCACCCGGCCCCACTCTGTATTTCTAAGCATGAAGCTCCATATCATTCCGTGAGTACTTAGGAATTATGATAAAAATTTTTCTGGGTAGGACCACCAGGATAAGAGTAAGGAGGAGTGACAACCTCATTTCTACCTGATCCACAATGTTGGGGAGTAAGAAAAGGAACAGACGACCCAGTGGGAGTAAGATGGTCATGTGGCCTCAAATGCAAGCTAAACTGTAAAGTGGGAGCTTCTTATTGTAAAAGCAAAGGAACGCAGGAAGCCCACTTCACTTTCCCAGTATCTCTCCAGTTTCTATACCCTCTATGGTGTTCTGTTTCATCCAATTCTACCTCCCTGATCTGTCCCACTGCCTGCCAGCTCTCCTGTCTTCTGAAAGGAAGGCTCTGGAGACCCAGAGGCACCTATGCCTGGTGTATAGAATACCACCCATCCTTGAGTGTCCAGAGAAAAGCATCCTGCCCCACCTGCCACCTGGTACAAACTTGCTACTGCACCCAAGAGCTTGCTGGTTGGATCGGATCCAGAGGTTCTTCTCCACTCCCTCTCCCCCAGTCTCCTGCTCCTCTTGCTCCTCTTCTTTTTTTTTGTACTCTGTCACCCAGGCTGGTGTGTAGTGGCATTATCTCAGCTCACCACAATCTCCACCTCCTGGGTTCAAGCAATTCTCATGCCTCAGCCTCCTAAGGTGCCTGCCACCATACATGGCTAATTTTTGTATTTTCAGTAGAGACGAGGTTTTGCCATGTTGGCCAAGCTGGTCTCAAACTCCTGACCTCAGGTGATCCACCCATCTCAGCCTCCCAAAGTGCTGGGATTACAAGCACGAGTCACTGCACCCGGCCACTGGGGCACTTTTAAAATGCCGATTCCTGGGTCTATGAGTTCTATTCAGTAGTTTAGAAGTGGCTTTCAGGAATCTGTGTTTTTACATGTAGCCCAGGTGAATGTGGCACACAATGAAGTTTGTGACTCCCTGAGCTAGATGCAACCTACGGCCTTTCACAGCAATTGGGTTCCTAGTCCTGTCTCCATTTAATAGAAGGGGCTGAATGTGAAGCAATTTGCCCAAGGTCGTATATCTTTTTGTTTTTGAGACAGAGTTTTGCTCTTGTTCCCCAATGGTGTGGTCTTGCAACCTCTGCTTCCTGGGTTCAAGTGATTCTCCTGCCTCAGCCTCCCGAGTAGCTGAGACTACAGGTTCATGTCACCATGCCCGGCTAATTTTGTATTTTTAGTAGAGACGGGGTTTCTCCATGTTGGTTAGGTTGGTGTTGAACTCCTGACCTCAGGTGATCCGCCCACCTCAGCCTCCCAAAGTGCTGGGATTACAGGCGTGAGCCACCGCACCCGGCCCAAGGTCATGTATCTTAAGTGCCAGAAAACCTAGGTCTCCTGCCTCCTAGGGCAGGATCTGTGTACTGCACCTTAGTGTCAGATCCAGGAAGACAAAGGGAGAGACAATGGGGGGTTGGGGTGAGTAAAGAACTATGAAGCAAGAGTCATTGTCTCTGCCCCCTAAACCCCTTCTCCATTCACTTTGCCTTTGGGCAATTTCCGCCAGAACCTGGGTGGAGGAGGGTGGAGTTCCGGTGTTGAAATGGCATCCTGGACAGACATAAACACCCCACCCACTCTGCCCACTGGTAGAGTTGCCTACACCAACTCTCGTCTATGGGGATGCAATATAACAAGGGGATGGAGGCAAGGGCTAGAGGACACTCTTTCCAAAGGATCATTTGTAGTTCCTACTAATTTTGTGGTAAGTCAAAGAGCAGATTCCATATTGCTGTGATGGGCCATCCTTGTGGTGAGTGGTCTAAGGTCATGCAATTTGAGGTCGTACAGTCCTATCCTCTGTCCTTTTTTTTTTTTTTTTTTTTTTTTGAGACAGAGTCTCACTCTGTCTCCCAGGCTGGAGTGCAGTGGCGCGATCTCGGCTCACTGCAGTCTCTGCCTCCCGGGTTCAAGCAATTCTCCTGCCTCAGCCTCCCGAATAGCTGGGATTACAGGAGCCCATCACTATGCCCGGCTAATATTTGTATTTTTAGTAGAGATGGAGGTTTCACCATGTTAGCCAGGCTGGTCTCAAACTCCTGACCTCAGGTGATCGCCCGCCTTGGCCTCCCAAAGTGTTGGTATTACAGGCATGAGCCACTGCGCTGCCTGCCCTCTTTTTTTTTTTTTTTTTTTTTTTTTTTCTGAGACAGGGTTTTGCTCTGTCACCTAGGCTCGAATGTGGTGGCACAATCATGGCTCACAGCAGCCTTGATCTTTCAGGTTCAAGTAATCCTCCCACTTCAGCCTCCTGAGTAGCTGGGACCACAGACGTGTGCCACCATGCCTGGCTAATTTTTGCATTTTTCGTGGAGATATTTTTTTTTTTTGAGACTGAGTTTCACTCTTGATATCCAGGCTGGAGTGCAATGGCACGATCTCGGCTCACCGCAACCTCCGCCTCCTGGGTTCAGGCAATTCTCCTGCCTCAACCTCCTGAGTAGCTGGGATTACAGGCACGCGCCACCATGCCCAGCTAATGTTTTGTATTTTTAGTAGAGACGGGGTTTCACCATATTGACCAGGATGGTCTCGATCTCTTGACCTCGTGATCCACCCGCCTCGGCCTCCCAAAGTGCTGGGATTACAGGCTTGAGCCACCGTGCCCGGCGGAGATGGGTTTTCACCATGTTCGCCAGGCTGATCTCAAACTCCTGGCTCAAGCAATCCTCCCACCTCAGCCTCCCAAAATGCTTCCTCTCTCCTAGTTTCCTTCACCCTAGCCTTCTTCCCTTTACTTATATGTTAGGGTATGTCTGTGTGTGTGCATATACACACAGTGTCTGACCCCAAGAGATCAGGAAGATCTGCCAAATCTACTTGGAATCTCTTGCTGAAGGCAGGGAAAACAGATGCAAGGAAAGTGGTGTTAGGGAACAGGGAGGTAGCATGAGGAGAAGGACTGACAGAGAAGAAGATAAAGGCAGGGAGAGGGTTTGCTGAGAATTCAAAGCTATCCAAGCAGAAAGGGACCTCCAAGGTCAACTTGTCCAACTCCCTGGTTTTACAAATGAGGAAACAGAGGCCCAGAGAAGTGAGACGGCTTGCCCAACATCACACTGCTGCTTTGTGGCAGAGCTGCAACTAGAACCCAAGTCAAAAGACAAGGGGCTGGAGGGGAGTGTGTATTCAAGGCTCTAAAGCGATTTTGACAAGAAGGAGAAAGAGAGACTGACTCACAGAAAGAACTGACGAATGTAGATTTCCAATAGATGTTTGGAGTATGGAGATACAGGGGCAGGATGGGAAGTGCCTAGAAGACATTATAGAACAGTAGAGTCAGGTTCTAGACCTCATCCTGCTCTTATTTATCAGCTTCAGTCTCGGTGTCTGATGTACCTTTAGAATCTTTATGCAAACCAATCTTATAAACTAAGCTTGCAACACCCCAGCGCAGTTCTTAACAAGTGCTTACTAAGTCTTTACTAAGGTTGTTATATTACCTCAGAAGAGGAAAGGCTTGTGGTTGTATGGGTTCGGGTGTGGCCCAAATGACCCTGTGAGGACACAGGGCAGAGGTCCAGTGTCTCCAGAGCCCATTCCTTCTGTGCCTCTGCTGCCTGCAACTGATAAACCTCTTATCTGGCCTAGGCAGGGGAGCCCAGGGCCAGGATAGGAGTGGGCAGAGCTGCTATCAGCCACCAGGCCTGGGCCATATCTTGGAGAGGGGGAGGGGCTGTCTGCTTGACTCTTTCCACAACATGTTCTTGGGGATCCCCAAGCATATACTGTCATCATCTTGGAAAGAAAAGGGTGAGGACCTAACACTGAGGACAGAGGAGGAAAGCAGGGCGCCCCTGATGCTGCCCTAGAAAATGGAAAAGAAAACATAGCAAAAAAAAGCAGAAGACCTGACTCTGCCCCTAGCCAGGAAAACAGTTTTAGGGGGCTAAAAAGTAGGGGAAAGAGTGGGCATTTTGCCTGGATAAAAGGTAAAGACCTCCTGTGCTGCCAAAGGAACCGACTGTGGACATAGCGAAGTGGAGATCACACCCCATTTTAAGGGATTGGTTGATGAGTCCAGCATGAGTGAGGGTGGGGAGGAGGAGGTCTCTCCTTCTCCCAGGGAGAGGGATCTGCTCCAAGGAGGTAGTGCTAACTTGCTGACCCTAGCAGGTGTCGCTCTAACACGTCTTTTCTTTGACACAGGTTTCTAGAGCCATCTGGGCTTTGGGGGAACCTGGACTACACTCTGGTCCAGTAGGATGTCCCCGTGTCCTCCCCAGCAGAGCAGAAACAGAGTGATACAGCTGTCTACTTCAGAACTAGGAGAGATGGAACTGACTTGGCAGGAGATCATGTCCATCACCGAGCTGCAGGTGAGTAAGGAGGGGGAGGCAGGGGAGGGGTGTGTCAGAGAAGAGAGAAGCAGGGAGTTGGCCTGCACTGAGGCCAGGAGCAAGCAGGGCTCTGAGGCCAGGAGCAAGCAGGGATCAGGCTGGTAATGCTCCAGGCACTGGAAAGGAAGAGCTGGGAAAGACCTGGATGGAAGGCACTGAGGAACACTGAGGAGTGGAGGCGCAGTGGTGGGGAGGGAAGAGTCTGACTAAGAGTGTAGGCTGTCTCAGCAGCCACATCTCTCTCTACACTCCCCACCTCCTGCTCTCCCTCCCTTGCTCACCTTCTTCTCTTCTGACCTCCCTCTCTGATCCTGCCATCTTCTTCCCTCATTTCCTCCCCCTGCCCTTAGCAACTGGGCCCCTTTCCCCCAGGTAGCAGAGCAGCAGTTCAGGGGCCTCTGGAAGGGGAGTCGGACTATGCCAGGGTCCTCTCCTCCTGCTACTTGGACAAAGGGGTGTCTGTTGGCCTAACAATGATGCCTTTGTCCCCAGCTGGGCTGGAGCAGGGTGGCTCCCCGATGTGGGTTGGGGGCCTTGTTTCCAGCATGTTCTCTTCTTCTCGCTGCACCTTGGCAGGGACAGAGGGACTGAAGAGGACAGGGTAGAGCTTGTGCTGGCTCCCCAAGGTGCTTCTTAGCCCCCCGCCTGACCCCTTTTTCTGCCCTGCCACCGTGCCAGCACCCTCAGGATCTGCCCTAGGCACTCTTCCCACACAGCAGCTCCCTCTGCTGGGCATCCGGGGCATGGCCAGAATCTGAACTTGACCCTTTGACCCTAGATAACTGCAGCAGGAAAGGGTTCTGAGGGGTCATCTTGGAGAACAAGGCTTTGAGTTCCTGAAGGAAATAAAGGAACATGAGTGATTTCAACCCAGTAAGAGCTTCTCTAAGAAGGAGTGTTCATAATTGTTCCAATGTTAGATAGTCTTTTCGGCAGTCCAACCTCAATGACTTCCATTCTTGCTAAAGCTGCTTTTTTTTTTTTTTTTTTTTTTTTGAGATGGAGTCTTGCTCTGTTGCCCAGGCTGGAGTACAGTGGCACCATCTTGGCTCACTTCAATCTCCGCCTCCTGAGTTCAAGCAATTCTCTTTCCTCAGCCTCCCAAGTAGCTGGGATTACAGGCGTTCACCACCATGCCCAGCTAATTTTTGTATTTTTAAGAGAGACGGGGTCTCACCATGTTGGCCAGGCTGGTCTTGAACTCCTGACCTCAGGTGATCTACTGCATTGGCCTCCCATAGTGCTGGGATTACAGGTGTGAGCCACCGCACCTGGTTTTAAACTGCATTTTTCTTGGAACAACTGTATCACAACTTTGCAAGAAGCTTCCAAAGATTTGTGGCAACTTTGTTTCCTTGTTATTATCTCACTGGGTCTTTCAGAAGAATTCAGCTTGGTCCTGAGAGAGTGTTGGTTTCTCTTCCTTAGTCTATCTCCAAATCTCTTTGTGTCTTTCTTTACAGGGTCTAAATGCTCCAAGTGAGCCATCGTTTGAACCCCAAGCCCCAGCCCCATACCTTGGACCTCCACCACCCACAGCTTACTGCCCCTGCTCAATCCACCCAGATGCTGGCTTCCCACTTCCTCCACCATCTTATGAGCTCCCAGCAACCACATCCCATGTCCCAGATCCCCCATACTCCTATGGCAACATGGCCATACCAGTCTCCAAACCACTGACCCTCTCAGGCCTGCTCAGTGAGCCGCTCCAAGACCCCTTAGCCCTCCTGGACATTGGGCTGCCAGCGGGGCCACCTAAGCCCCAAGAAGACCCAGAATCCGACTCGGGATTATCCCTCAACTATAGCGATGCTGAATCCCTTGAGCTGGAGGGGACAGAGGCTGGTCGGCGGCGCAGCGAATACGTAGAGATGTACCCAGTGGAGTACCCCTACTCACTCATGCCCAGCTCCTTGGCCCACTCCAACTATGCCTTGCCAGCTGCTGAGACCCCCTCGGCCTTAGAGCCCTCTTCAGGCCCTGTGCGGGCTAAGCCCACTGCACGCGGGGAGGCAGGGAGTCGGGATGAACGTCGGGCCTTGGCCATGAAGATTCCTTTTCCTACAGACAAGATTGTCAACTTGCCGGTAGACGACTTTAATGAGCTATTGGCGAGGTACCCGCTGACAGAGAGCCAGCTGGCGCTAGTCCGGGACATCCGACGACGGGGCAAAAACAAGGTGGCAGCCCAGAACTGCCGCAAGAGGAAGCTGGAAACCATAGTGCAGCTGGAGCGGGAGCTGGAGCGGCTGAGCAGTGAGCGGGAGCGGCTTCTCAGGGCCCGCGGGGAGGCCGACCGGACCCTGGAGGCCATGCGCCAACAGCTGACAGAGCTATATCGTGACATTTTCCAGCACCTTCGGGATGAATCAGGCAACAGCTACTCTCCTGAAGAGTACGCGCTGCAACAGGCTGCTGATGGGACCATCTTCCTGGTGCCCCGGGGGACCAAGATGGAGGCCACAGACTGAGCTGGCCCAGAGGGGTGGAACTGGTGATGGGATTTCCTTCATTCCCTTCTGATAAAGGTACTCCCCAACCCAGAAAGAGCTGAGTTCTCTAGACCAGAAGAGGATGACAATGGGAACGGGTGTTTAGAAGTTCCAAGGTGTGTTCAAAGAGGCTTGCCTTGAGGGAGGACTGGAATCAGTCTTCCCTGACTCAGCTTCTCAGGTCTTCAGCCTCCACCTCTTGTCCAAGCTTTGGTCTATAAAGTGCGCTACAGAAATAGCCTTTCGCTGTGTCTTCCTTCTTGAGGGAGGGTGATGAAGCTGAGATCACTATCTGTTTGGGGTAGGGAGGGAATCTGACCAAGTTCATTTCATTCCTCCCAGAGCTCTGTGTGAGAGGTACACATCATAACATTTGGGCTTCAGCAGTTTGGGGATCTACCACCTTCATCCCCTTTTCAGAGTGAGAGGGCATGGATGATCGGGAGAACCCGCACTCCCTGGTGGTGCCCTATTAGTACAGCTTGGAGAGCTGCCAAAACTGGCTAGACCCCATAGGCAAAGGTTCCTGATATTTAGGTCTCTCTTCTCTCAATCCTCCCAGCACAAAAAAGCCCAGAATGCCCGCAGGCCTTTCCTTTTTTCTTCCCCTCCTGCTTACCTCTCAGCCTGGGTCCTAATGTGCCAGAGAGTTCTCTCAGAAGACTGAGTGGGCTGTTCTTGACTGGAATTTATACACCAAAATTTCAGATTTCACACCCAAGCTTTGGTAAATAAAACCTGCTGCACAGTGGAGTAAAATATTCATTCCTGTGAAACATTTTTCCTCTGGTTATGTTACATAAACACTACCCAATTCTTTTTTTTTTTTTTTTGAGACGGAAGTTTTGCTCTTGTTGCCCAGGCTGGAGTGCAATGGTGCTATCTCGACTCACTGTAACCTCCACCTCCCGGGTTCAAGTGATTCTCCTGCTTCAGCCTCCCAAGTAGCTGGGATTACAGGCATGCACCACTATACTTGACTAATTTTTAGTAGAGAAGGGTTTTCTCCATGTTGGTCAGGCTGCTTTTAAACTCCTGACCTCAGGCGATCTGCCTGCCTGGGCCTCCCAAAGTGCTGGGATTACAGGCATGAGCCACCGCACCCGGCCAACACTACCCAATTCTTGTTTTGGGGACTGCCTTTTCTAGATCTTTAAAGATCTTTTTTTTTTTTTTTTTTTGAGACAGAGTCTTGTTCTGTCACCAGGTGCCAGGCTGGAGTGCAGTGGCGCTATCTGGGCTCACTGCAATGTCCGCCTCCCCGGTTCAAGTAATTTTCCTGCCTCAGCCTCCGGAGTAGCTGGGACTACAGGTGCATGCCACCACGCCCAGCTAATTTTTGTATTTTTTTAGTAGAGAGGGGGTTTCACCATGTTGGCCAGGATGGTCTCGATCTCTTGACCTCGTGATCCAGCTGCCTTGGCCTCCCAAAGTGTTAGGATTACAGGCGTGAGCCACTGCACCTAGCTTTAAAGATCTTTTTGTCTGTTTGAGACAGTCTCACCCTGTCCCCCAGGCTGCAGTGCAGTGGCCTGGCCTCGGTTCACTGCAACCTCCACCTCCCGGGTTCAAGCGATTCTTCTGCCTCAGCCTCCTGAGTAGCTGGGACTACAGCTACTCAGTGTGTGTGTCACTGCAACCAGCTAATTTTTGAATTTTTAGTAGAGACGGGATTCACTATTTTGGCCAGGCTGGTCTCAAACCTCATGATCTGCCCGGGTCAGCCTCCCAAAGTGCTGGGCCTTTTTTTGTTGTTGTTGATACAGTCTTACTCTATCACCCAGGTTGGAGTACAGTGGCATGATCCTGGCTCACTGCAATCTCTGCCTCCTGGGTTCAAGCAATTCTCCTGCCTCAGCCTCCTGAGTAGCTGGGATTACAGGCACCTGCCACCCCGCCTGGCTAATTTTTATATTTTTAGTAGAGACAGGGTTTCACCATGTTGGCCAGGCTAGTCTTGAACTCCTGATCTCAAATGATCTGCCTGCTTTGGCCTCCCAAAGCGTTGGGATTACAGGTGTGAGCCACCCTGTGTGGCCTAGATTATTTTTATTAATTTTTTTCTTTTTCTTTTTTTTTTTTTTTGAGACGGAATTTCGCTCTTGTTACCCAGGCTGGAGTGCAATGGCGCGATCTCAGCTCACCGCAACCTCCGCCTCCCGGGTTCAGGCAATTCTCCTGCCTCAGCTTCCTGAGTAGCTGGGATTACAGGCACACGCCACCATGCCCAGCTAATTTTCTGTATTTTTAGTAGAGACGGGGTTTCACCATGTTGACCAGGATGGTCTCGATCTCTTGACCTCGTGATCCACCCGCCTCGGCCTCCCAAAGTGCTGGGATTACAGGCGTGAGCCACCGCGCCCGGCTTAACTTTTTTCTTCTTAAAACAGAATATAATTGACTAAGTTTCAGATTTCTTAGCCATATCAGTTAAAATCCGGTCAAACCTCCCTGACACCACACAATCCCCTTGCTTGGAGTTGTGTGGTCTCCAATATTCCCAGTCACTGAGTTACACAGCTTCCCTCTTCAGAATATTTTACCTTTACCTTTTGTTTAATTTTACTAGCTCTACTATGTCCATTCCAACATTAAAACCTTACATCCAGGGCCTGGAAAAAAATAAAAAGACAAAAAAACTCATATCCAAGTTCTGATATAGACACCACAGGCTTGAGCCCAGGAGCTCGAGACCCGCCTGGACAACATAGGGAGACCCTGTCTCTACAAAAAAAAAAAAAAAAAAATTAGTTGGTGGGTGCAGTGGCACATGCCTGTGGTCCTAGCTACGTTGGAAGCTGAGGTGAGAGGACTGCTTGAGCCTGGGAGTTTGAGGCTGCAGTGAGCCATGATCATGCCACTGTACTCCAGCCTGAGCGGCAGAGCTAGACTATCTCAAACAAACAAGCAAGCAAACAAACAAAAACAGACAACACAGATACTGAGACCTAAAAGCAGCAGAGTGATAGGAAGATAAAGAACATGGTCTCCGGCCGGGCGCGGTGGCTCAAGCCTGTAATCCCAGCACTTTGGGAGGCCGAGGCGGGTGGATCACGAGGTCAAGAGATCGAGACCATCCTGGTCAACATGGTGAAACCCCGTCTCTACTAAAATACAAAAAGTTAGCTGGGCATGGTGGCGCGTGCCTGTAATCCCAGCTGCTCGGGAGGCTGAGGCAGGAGAATTGCCTGAACCCAGGAGGCGGAGGTTGCGGGTGAGCCGAGATCGCGCCATTGCACTCCAGCCTGGGTAACATGAGTGAAACTCAGTCTCAAAAAAAAAAAAAAAAAAAAAAAAAAAAAAAAAAAAAAAATGGTCTCTATCCTAAGTTTGGGAATGAAAGCAACTTGAAGCTTCCTTATTATTTTTTTTTTTGAGATGGAGTCTCGCTCTGTCGCCCAGGCTGGAGTGCAATGGTGCAATCTCGGCTCACTGCAACCTCCACTTCCTGGGTTCAAGCGATTCTCCTGCTTCAGCCTCCCGAGTAGATGGGACTACAGGTGCATGCCACCACGCCCGGCTATTTATTAATTTTTCAGTAGAAACGGGGTTTCTCCGTGTTAGCTAGGATGGTCTTGATCTCCTGACCTCATGATCTGCCTGCCTCAGCCTCCCAAAGTGCTGGGATTACAGGCGTGATCCACCGTGCCCAACCCAAAGCTTATTTTAAAAAGACAGGGTCTTGGCCGGGCATGATGGCTCACGCCTGTAATCCCAGCACTTTGGAAGGCCGATGTGGGCAGATCACGAGGTCAGTAGATTGAGACCATCCTGGCCGACATGTTGAAACCCCGTCTCTACTAAAAATACAAAAAAATTATCTGGGCGTGGTGGCGCATGCCTGTAGTCCCAGCTACTCAGGAGGCTGAGGCAGAAGAATTGCTTGAACCCAGGAGGTGGAGACTTTAGTGAGCTGAGATCATGCCACTGCACTACAGCCTGGGTGACAGTGCAAGACTCGTCTCAAAAAAAAAAAAACCAATAAAAAAAGACAGATAGGGTCTTGCTCTATTGCACTGTCTGAAGTGCAGTGGCACAATCATGGCTCACTGCAACCTTGAAGTCCTGGGCTCAAGTGATCCTCCCACTCCAGCCTCTGCAGTAAGCTTTCTATTACTTTTTTTTTTTTTTTTTTTTTGCGATGGAGTTTCGCTTTTGCTGCCCAGGCTGGAGTGCAATGGCTGGATCTGGGCTCACCGAAACCTCTGCCTCCCAGGTTCAAGTGATTCTCTTGTCTCAGCCTCCCAAATAGCTGAGATTACAGGCATGCACCACCACGCCTGGCTTTTTTTTTTTTTTTTTTTTTTTTTGTATTTTTAGTAGAGACAGGGTTTCTCCATGTTGGTTAAGTTGGTCTTGAACTCCCGACATCACTTGATCCACCCATCTCTGCCTCCCAAAGTGCTGGGATTATAGGCGTGAGCCACCACACCCAGTGGTGGCTTCAAATCTTCCTATTCCTAACAGATTTGAAAATGTCCAATTTGTCAATTTATGTTCTCACAAAAAATGTTAAAGAGTTTCCACATTTAAAAAATAGAGATGGGGCTGGGTGCAGTGGCTCATGCCTCTAATCCCAGCACTTTGGGAGGTGAGGTGGGTGGATCAGCTGAGGTCAGGAGTTCGAGACCACCCTGGTCAATATGGTGAAACCCTATCTCTACTAAAAATACAAAAATTAGCCAGGCGTGGTTGCTTGCACCTGTAGTCCCAGCTACTTGGGAGGCTGAAGCAGAATTGCTTGAACCCAGGAGGTTGCAGTGAGCCGGGATCTGAGCCATTGCCCCTGCAACTCCAGCCTGGGTGACAAGAGCGAGACTGTCTAAAAAAAAAAAAAGACATGGGGTCTCATACTGTCTCCCAGGCTTGCAGTGGGGTGATCTCGGCCCACTGTAACCTTAACCACCCAGGCTCAATCAATCCTCCCACCTCAGCCTCCTGAGTGACTGGGACTAAAGGTACATGCCACCATATTTTTTGAGATGGAGTTTTGCTCTTGTTGCCCAGGCTGGAGTGCAATGGCGTGAGCCTGGCTCACTGCAACCTCTACATTCTGGGTTCAAGCGAGTCTCCTGCTTCAGCTTCCCGAGTAGTCGGGATTAGATATGGGCCACCACGCCCAGCTAATTCTGTATTTTTAGCAGAGAGGGGGTTTATCCATGTTAATCAGGCTGGTCTAGAACTCCTGACCTCAGGTGATCCACCTGCCTCAGCCTCCCAAAGTGTTGGGATTACAGGAG